TGTAACATCCCAAAAACACAGTCTGAAAATTTCGTTTAATTTAATGATAAAACCATAGTCAATAAACCTCATATAGAAATCATAAGCAATGTATCTCAAAATATTATAACAACTGTCAAATATATCAGAGTATAAACATCCCAGGCTGAACAGATGGTGTGTGCACTGCAATCTCCCCGAGCTCCTCTTTTGAAAACTGAGTACCTGAAACCAAAACTGAAAACCGTAAGCACGAAGCTTAGTGAGCTCCCCCAAACTACCACATACCATACAATAACATATAAACACATATTGGGCCTTGCCCACTGCATCGGGACGAAGCCCGGAAACTGTATCGGACGGAAGTCCGGAACTGACTGGGACCTTGTCCCCTGCATCGGACCAAAGTTCGGAACTAACTGCATCGGACCAAAGTCCGGAACTGACTGGGACCTTGTCCCCTGCATCGGACCAAAGTCTGGAACTGACTGAGACCTTGTCCCCTGCATCGGACCGAAGTCCGGGACTAACTGCATCGGACCGAAGTCCGGAACTAACTGCATCGGACCGAAGTCCGGAACTGACTAGGCATAGCATAGCATAGTAAAAACACATATCAAATAGCATAACACACATGATCATAAACTCATATACTGCATACTACGTCAGGTCGTAGCCCATAATACTTAACACATAAATCCTGTCTGAGCCACGAATGCATCAAACAAACTAACAACTGCATCGGACCAAAGTCCGGAAACTACTGCTACTAAGCGGGCCGGCATTGTGGCCTTAGACCCGTTCCTACTGGAAGAAAACTCACCTGATGCTGCTGAACTGCTGCTGTTGATCCTTGACTGCTACCTGACTTCTGACTTCGACTACTGCTCCACTAGCTCCTCAAGCTACCAATATCAATATAACACTTAGTCCAACTGACCTCCAAAGGTTACTAGGTCAAATCTGGTCAAGGTCAAAATCCTGGTCAAAGTCAACCTCCCGGGTCAACCCTACTCGCCGAGTCTATCTATTGACTCGCCGGGTTCATATGCCCTGAGTCTTTCTTATTCGCGACTCGACTCGCCGAGTCAATCCATGACTCGCCGAGTCCAACTAGGTCCAAGTCCTGTCCTGTCCAACTCGCTGAGTCACCACCCGACTCACTGATTCGGGTCTCGACTCGAAGGGTTTAGGGTTTCGCGATCTGACTCGCCGAGTCCAAGAACAGACTCGCCGAGTCCTAGATAATCTTCAACCAACTCATCGAGTTGTTCATCCAACTCGCCGAGGCCATGCCTATCTTCATCCGACTCGACAAGTTGTTCATCCTACTCGTCGAGTTCCTCCTCACCTTCAAGCTACTCGCCGAGTCTATCCATTCCTCAATCCATGCAGTGGCTTTTCGAGCCAAACTGAACTTCCAACTCCTAGATCCATACTTCTAGGGCTATTCCCACGTAAAGTGGCAAACTTTACGTGTAGATTGAGAGATCTAAGCTCAAAACACACTAAATTCGGGTTTATGGCAAACATGCTTCTTCAACATATCAAAGGCTGATACTTTAGGGGATTCTAGACCAAAACCAACATGGATCTGAGGTAGCAACCTCAGATCTGAACCTCCAACTCGAATTGGTTACATATCATACCAACAATGCCCAAAACCCACACATAAGAGTAGATCTAGATGAAAAAGAGAGTCCAAGCAACAACTTATTACCTCCACTTGGTCCGAAATGACTCCACAATCCAGATCTACAATCCCTTCTTGCACCTCCAAGGTCTTTCTTCCTCCTCCAAGCTTAATGCATTCTACAAGGCAAGATCTAACCCCAAAAACGGAAATGGCGGCTAGGGTTTGATGTTTTGGGGTAGAGAGGCAATAAATGAACCCTAGGAAGGAGAATGAGACACTTAAAATAGGCTCCAAGTTCCCGGGTTTAGGGTTTTCCCCGTTCAGACCCAACTCGCCGAGTCTCCCTGGCCGACTCGCCGAGTCGGTCGCTTTCACCACAACCCGGATCCCGCTCGGACTCGCCGAGTCCCTCCATGGACTCGCCGAGTCTCCCCTAAACTTGAGGTTTTCTTTCTTTTCTTGGCTTTCCAAACTTTGGGGTGTTCCACTATCAAGTTAATATGTCGATATTTTTTTATTAGTATTGATTCAACTACCAACTTATTATCATTATGTCCGTAATTATTTGGAAAGTTTACTTTAACAAAATATTTAACTTTTTATACATCATTAGTCAAAATATGTTAATATTTTTTTATTACTATATATTGAATTACTTATTTTATTCATTATTATATCATTTTTATTTATGTAAAAATATTATTGTTAAAAATACTTAATGTTTAGACAAAATTGCAAAAATGATCCCTGTGGTATGCAGATTTTTGAGGTTTTAATCCAAACCCTGAGTTTTTTGGATCCATGGTCCTTTTGGAGTGGTTTGTCTGCGGTTTTAGTCCCTGGACTTAACTCCTGTTAAATAAGATCTATTAAACCCTCTCATGTGCCTCACACATGAGGGTAAATTCGTCATTTCATATGTAAGGGACAATTTTTGCATAAACATATTCTACATTTACCACTAATCGATCCCAATTAACTTCACAAGCAAATGTTTATAAAATAGAAATTAACCAATAATTGTTTGATTTGTTGTAGAATACCATCAATCATAATCCAAACCAATTTTACCGACACCATCAGCACAACATCAAACCTACGGAGCTTTGAGCGACTTTTCCACATCAATCACAAACCTATATCTAACATCAAATTTCAACATACGATCCATTGCAGTGTTCACATAATCCATCAGAATGAGCTCTATATCAGGAGCCACACCATGCTTGCTGCAAAATCAAGCATTTCTTGAGTCTCTTTCAACCCTCCAATCGTGCTTCCACCAACAATTTTCCTCCCTGCATGTCACCGTCAATCAGTCCCCTTTATATAACATTATCTTATCAAACGCTACAAACTTTCATACACTAATTACTTACCTGTAATTAAAGAAAATGAAATAAGCTGAAGTGGCTTCTCTGGTGCACCCACAAGAAGAAGCTTCCCATGTGGTTTCAGCACACTTAACAATGGAGCATTAATAGGGTGAGTTGCAAAAACCGTGTCAATGATCCCATCCAACAAACTCATTGCAGACTGATTCAAAAAAAGAAAAAGACCCATTTATCTAATCAAAGTCTTAATACACAAATCAAGAAAAGATAACAAATCTTGACAAATTACTTGCATTTGGTCTTGATCTTTGCTGACTATAAAACAATCAGCTTTAAGTCCTTGAAGTGCTTCTTGCCCTTTCGTGCTGAAAACAATAACTTCTGCACCAAAAGCTTTCACCATCTTCACAGCGACATGACCAAGTCCACCAAGACCAACGACACCAACTTTCATCCCTGGTTTATCTAGTCTGAAGTATCCGAGAGGGCTGTAAGTGGTAATTCTGCCACATAGAGGGTTGTAAGTGGTGATTCCGACACATAACAGTGGTGCACCTGTATTAAGCGGCAAGTTTTCCGGCCACCGGAGGACGAATCTCTCATCTGCAACTATGTGATCGGAGTACCCACCATATGTCTTTGTGCCATCATGGTAAGGGGAGGCGTAAGTGAGAATCTGTTTTGGGCAGTAGCATTCGAAATCATTAGCACAATTGTTGCAAGATCCGCATGATCCCACCAAGCATCCAACTCCGCCATTGTCGCCGACTTCGAATTTCTCGACTTTGCTTCCTAATTCTGTCACAACACCCACAATCTCGTGGCTACATTCATCAACATGAAGATTAAAATTCTTGCAATGATGTTTGTAGAAGAAAGTAGAAGATCGATGTTGAAGAAAAGCATAGGTTTTAGGAAATCTTAGTGGAAAATCAAATCGAGATAAATGGAAGAAAGCATACCTGGAATAACGGGATAACTCGTCAATCCCTATTCGTTTTTGGCAAAGTGAAGATCAGAATGGTCCCTTCATATATGAAATGACCAATTTACCCTCACATGTGAGGCACATGAGGGGCTTAACGGATTTTATTTAACGGGAGTTAAAGTCCAGGGACCAAAACCACAGACAAACCACTTCAAAAGGACCATGAATCCAAAAAAGTCGGGGTTTGGACTAAAACCCCAAAAATCTACATACCACAGGGACCATTTTTGCAATTTTGTCTAATGTTTATAACTTTATATTAAACTTTTATTTTTGACAAAACTGCAAATTTGGTCCTTGTGGTTTGCAAAAATCTTTGGATAGGATCCAAAAAGTTTTCGACTTGCATAGAAGGTCCAAAATCAAAGTTTTTCTGGGTTTTTGGTCCAAAAAAACATGAAAAGACGGTTTTGCCCTTTTATTTTCCTTTTTGTATTTTTATAATTATTAAAATACTATTTTAATTTAAAAATAAAAAGAAAAGAAAATAATTAACACCCACCCACTTACCTCCACCTCTCTCTCTCTCTCACACACACACACACACGAAGAACTTCTTATCCCAATCCCGTCTTCAATTGGCAACCTTGAAAACCTCCAAGACTTGATTTTAATCTCCATCAAACTCATCAGAAAAATCCCAGGTGAGCTTTGGAGCTGCCGGAGTCTCAAGACTCTTTACTTGTTCGACAACTGATTCCCCGGAGTAAACAAAGACCTCACCGGAGGAAACAACGGCCTCGCCGGAGTCTGGTGCAACATCCTAATTTCACCACCACCACTATCATCCCCTCTTTACACCCACCGTCGGTAGAACCCTCTATCCCTCACACACTCACGCACATGATGAAAGAAGTACATCGACTCGCTCCTTGTTCATCCTTAGTTCCCAATTAAATCATCAACAAATCATCTTTCTCCTGCACATCTTACATTCCCAATTTCAAGATCAATTACATATCCCTAGGCTAGAGTACAAAGAACAAAACTGATTTCCCAAACCCTGGATGATAATACGATCGAATCCAGCATCAGAACGCTTGTAACTCGCTTTAATCTGATTATCTTAGGGTTGAAGTTTGAAAGTAAATATGTCCAAGAGTTCTTCGCCTACAGGTTCATCATTTTCTTCTCGTAAGTAATCAGAATGATGCTTATGACAATACTTTTCAGAAATCTTGAAACTCTGACATGTTTTTAGGGATGTAGTTTTGGATTCTGGGATTTTTATGGTTTGTTCCAATTTTTAAGATTTTTTCCATTGAAGTGTTCTTGGGTATTTTTCCAGATTTCAGTTGATTCCGTGTTAGGATGATATTTGTGTTGGATTATTGTGGGTTGAATATGTTAAACGATTTTTTGATTGAATTAGTATGTTGAATAATTTTGTTTCTGATTTGAGATGAAGTTTTGATGGAGCATCGATATTAATCTTGAAAGACTAGAGCTATTTTTTTATAGTAATCAATGTTTACACTTCATTTTTATTATAGATTTTGTGATAAGTTTGATGTTGGTATGTGTTCGAGTTCCTTGTGTGTGTGTATTTGGAGTTGCAGGTGTGTTTATGTTTAGAGAGAAATAGATAGAGAGGAGGGGGAGGAGGAAGATGAGGAGAAGAAGGATGAGGAGGAAGAGAGAGAAGGGGGAGGGCTCCGGTGGGGTGGGTAGAGAGAGAGAGAGAGAGAGAGAGAGAGATGGGTGAGCCAACTTAATTCCTTTTTTTGCATTAATATTTATAAAAGAAAAATATAAAAAATACAGAAAAGAAATTTAAAGGGCAAAACAGTCAATTCAAGTGCTCTATGGACCAAAAGTACAAAAATTTCCTAAGTTTAGGACTAAAAACCCAGAAAAACTTTGATTTTGGACATTCTATGCAAGTCGGAAACTTTTTGGACCCTATCCAAATATTTTTGCAAACCACAGGTACCAAATTTATAGTTTTGTCTTTATTTTTAATAAACTCGTATACTACACGGGTTTTACACCTAGTTTAGTAATATTAATTTTTGATAAACTTTTTAAGACTTTAAGTAAATACTTTTTTTTGAAATATAAATAAATTAATTTTCTTATAATTATAACTTAATATTTATTGATATCTATGTCTTAATATTGTGTAAATCTTCCTTGACTATATATATATATATATATATATATATATATATATATATATATATATATATATATATATATATATATATATATATAAAAGACAAAACTTCAAAAATGATCCCTGTGGTTTTCGAAAATATCAAGTTTAGTCCCTGAGTTCAAAAAACATCACAGATGGTCACTGTGGTTTCAAAACTTTTAACATTTGGTCCTTCCGGCTAACTCCGTTACCATTTAGCCGTTAAGTCGGGGGCATTTTTGGTATTTTACTACACAGGGACTATTTATGAGGTTTTCAGTTATTTTTTTAAAATAAATAAATAAATAAAATTTAATATGCAAGGGTCTCACCTCTCTCTCTCTCTCTCTCTCTCTCTCTCTCTCTCTCCAAACACACACTCATTATCGATTTTTACAACCGATTCCTAGCCAGATTTTTTGCAATCGATCTCTGCAATCCATTTATCATTATTACTACAATCGATTCTAAGCTGACTTTTGCAAGCTGATTTCTACCATCACACCTATGCGAACAAAATTTTCAAGCCAGAAAGGGAGTTCTGCCCGTTGCAAGAGAATCGAAAAACAATATGGACCACCCTCTCACCGGAAAATACGATGCATCTTTTCTGTGAAAACCTCAATATGATAAGAACATAACATATGACTCACACATCAAAAACCAGGTGCGATTTCGGATATGAAACCTAAACCTGAATCAAATTTCATTTGATCGTCCCTTCATCCTCCTTCACAACAATTACTTAAAGATTGATTTTTTGAAACCTAATCCTAATCTGAATCAAGTTCTAATTTAAAACCTAAACCTAAACTTGATCTGAAAATTCTTTTCGGAAGTTTATTAGGTACCAATCATAAACAGACAGACATTTGAAACCTAAACCTAAATTTGCTTAGATTCGTCCATAAACCCACCCTCATCATTGTTACTTCTATTTCCACTGTCCTTCATATGGTTTTCGTTGGAACCTCAAAGTTTCATAGGGAGAAAGAGACATGAAAGTGACAAAGAAGGGTGAAGGAGATGAGAGGCAAAGATTTGGATGTTGTGGGATGGTGGGCTGAAAATGTGATTTGATGAAGAATCTCATGAAGAAGATAAAATGCAGAACCTATAAATCATTTCACTTCAAAACTAGAAATCAAAACCCCATCAAGAGTCTGAAAATCATAAAGATCATTACGAATCTGGGTTTGTTCTTTATCGATAACCCAACTAGAAGAAAGAAGAGAAATTATATAAATTCATAGAAGAAATTGTTGGTCGTATGCTTCTTCGAATTCACTTCCTTGTCATTAATGCTTGTTACCAAAGATGCTAGCTTCGATTGACGAAAAGGAAAGAAGAAAATAGATGAGGAAATAGGGAAGTAGAAGAGTAGATATGGTGGAAGCCATGGTTTTGTTTTTAAGTGTGAGGGTGTGCAGCCGAGAGAGAGAGAGAGAGAGAGAGAGAGAGAGAGAGAGAGAGAGAGAGAGAGAGAGAGAGAGAGAGAGAGAGAGAGAGAGAGAGGACCCTTGCATATTAAATTTTATTTATTTATTTATTTAAAAAAAAGTAACTGAAAACCTCATAAATAGTTCCTGTGTAGTGAAATACCAAAAATGCCCCTCACTTAACGGCTAAATGGTAACGGAGTTAGCCGGAAGGATCAAATGTTAAAAGTTTTGAAACCACAGGGACCATCTATGAGGTTTTTTGAACTTAGAGACTAAACTTGATATTTTTAAAAACCACAGGAATCATTTTTGAAGTTTTGTCTATAATTATAATTTATTGTTTTAAATTAATATTTTTTTATTACTAATTTATAACAAACAAATGCGGAGTGATTTATTTTATTGTTTAAGTCAACTACACATAACAGTTAAATGTAATTTGGATTCCATTACCTTGATCACGTCGTTTATTCCATTTCTTGATTGTCGTATTCAATCAAACCAACGGACCTTTAGAAACGATATTAATGGAAAGACTTGATAATTATATTAATTAATAAATCAATTAACAATGTAACATTCAAATCACATTCTAAAATATTTGTGACTGAATGTTATATATGATTTATTTATACCGGATTTAAGAGATGCAGCATGCATTTGGATTCTCGTCTGAGAAAAGTTGCGGTGGTGGGATTCTTTCCATCACATACAACGGCGGATACTGATGATAATACATCATCCTTTGCATGTCAACGGACTCCATCTTCTCTCCTCCATCCTTCTTCCCCTCCTCCTTGTCTCCATCAGCACCACCACCTTCCTTCTTTTCTTCTTCTGGTGGTTTCTCTTCTGGTTTTGCTTCTTCCGCTGGTTTCTCCTCAGGTTTTGCTGCCGCCTCTTCTTCCTTGGGCTTCTCAGCTGCGTCCGGTGCTGGTTCCGCCGCTGGCGGCTCTGGTTGTGGCACGATCTTTGCTTGCTTTTTTGTACGCCTATACACATACTCCACCAGCTTCTCACCATCCATACTTCCAGTGACCATCACTTTACTTGAACCCACTTCTGTTTCCACTGTTCTCACCCCTGCAAATTATTGATCATCTCTCATTTCATTTTACTTTTGAATTAACTTGAAAAAGAAATATCTCTATACCTCAAAATCTGATGACTTAATTACGTACCTTTCATTCGGAGGATCTTGCGTTTGAGTTGCAGAGCACATGCTTCACAATGCATGTTGACATTCAACTCGACTGTAATTAATCCAGGGACCTCAGAGGCAACGACTTGAGGAATGGGATCACCTTCGTTAGCAGGAAGAGGAGACAACACTTTGGCGGTTCTTTTTGTTTTCTTGGTTATTTTATCACATACTGCTTGCGGTTCCACCACTCCTTTTATCGTCACTTGGTTCTTCCCCATGTCTATGTCCAACCCTACAACTCCTATATATATATATATAAACATACACACATCGCATTTAATGGAGTACTCTGATAATAATTATTAAGACACATGTACACTGAACTCACACAGAGTACTATAAATATTTATTTATATATACCTGGAATTCTCAAGAGGGACTTCTCAATCTTTTTGGCACATCCAACACAATGCAAATCGATAAACAACACAAAGGGAGCTGGTGGTTTTGGTTCTTCTTCTTTTTTCTCTTCAGCTGGAGGTTTCTCCTCGGCATTTTCTTCTTTCTTTTCCTCTGGTTTTGGTTCTTCGACCTTTTGTTCTTCCTGTTAGAAATTGAAATTAAAAAACCAGTCAGACATTCTTACCCATCTACATCTCACTCAAATAAACCCGAAATCAGTACTCACCACTTTCTGTTCTTCACCCATCGTCCTTAATACAAAAAGAGAGAGAGAGCAACTACAGTAGAGAGAGAGAGAGAGAGAGAGAGAGAGAGTGAATGAGAGAAAGAAAACAGAGGAATATATAAGAAATGATTTGAGAATCTTAAGGATGGACGGTGAGTTATTATCCTCAAAAAGCAAAACATTGACATGTCAGAGCACATGCAGAGCCACTAACTCTTTATATATAAAAATTTCCATCTTTTTGGGTTGGGATCCATCCATGGCCACAAAACTTAAGCAGAGGGAATTCCAAGGAATCAGAATAGACTTATTTATCGGAAAAGTAACTGTATATAATGGCCTTAAAAGGAGAAACAGATAAAATACCCCGTTGACACTCTCACGCAAAATTGTTACATATCTTGCAATTAATATTAACTACCATAATTACCATACGCATGTTTATAAAATAACAATTAACAAAGAGTTAATTAAACAGTTTCCAACAATGTACAATGTACATTATCATTTCAGTATAAGTCCCATCGTCAATCTTGAAGTTAGAAATTTCCCAACTCATACGGATGTATAAGTTTTTGTGTTAATATATAGCATGCATGTTCTGTTTCATCATTTCTTTAAGTATGTCGCTTCAAATCTGACTAACTTTCAAAAGCTATGTGACAATATATGATACAACAGTTGGTATGATGAGTCGTGAAACTAGTCGAAGAATGAGCGATCACAATCTACTGAAAAAACCGGTAGTTCAGTTGATGTATGAATGGAGAAGGAGTAGTCGGGCAAAAGGTAAGACCTTTAATTTTGGAGGGATGCCAAAAGGAATAAAGGATTACGTGTAAAGATCTTCTTACTTGAAACTTGGTCTCACATGCAACATTATTATTTAATATTTTCTTTTTGGGAAATAAATTGGGTTATTTAATTAATATGTGGTTACCTAACCTACCATCTTTTGTTTTTGATGTAACCAACTTGATTGAATCTGGACACAAAAAGAGTGGTCAGATATGGGGTTCCCCACTTGGGATCTGCAGAAATTTAACTTTCTTACGTGGGGATGAATATTGTACACATAGACTTGCATTTGGATCTACATAACCTCTTTGTGTAACTTAGTTTATAAGAGTAACAAAACTTTATTTCAATTCAAAAGGGTCCAGATCAAGTACCAATTATAGAAACAATCAGACATGTGGACGTGAGTCAGCATGGGACACCAATGTTTCGCCCCAATACAAAACTTTTTTTTCTACATTTTACCCCATCAAACTAATGCTTCCTTTTTTTTTTAGAACTATACTTTCTTGTGACCCCATGAATATTCTTTTTAAGGATTTTAATTTAAAGGAACGTGTGGGGGCCAGAAAATTGGAATAATTAGAGGTTAATTAAGAAGATCAGCATAATCTTGTAATCATTAATTCCTTTGTTTTGTTAGTAACCAACCACTAAGCAATCATACTTAACTCAACCACCATTCATTCAAGTTTTGGCAGTTTTAAGCATAAAGAGTCCAAATGGATGGTTTTTATAGTTAACCGGATCAACCCGTAATAATAATTTGGTTTTGATGTGAGAAATCTACCAAACCACCAAATACCATCCTTAAGTAACAATCACCCAACCTCTGCCAAATAGCACCTGCCTATGTTCCTGTTCATAGTTATCAACAACTCAACAATGGGCAAAATGATTTTTTCTTTATTGCTTGATTGATGTTGTATATATTATATGTGTAAAAACAGATGAGAGATGACCATAAAAAAGGAGATTGAAAATGTAATATCCAAAATGGTGGAGTAAATTCCCCTTCTTACATATCCAACAAGTGGGTCAAAAGTCAAGTTGACTTCTCCTTTCCTGTTACTTATATAAAACTCCCATGGACATTAAGATGCAATCACGATTCGCCTAAAAATTAAGATGCAATGAGAAAGAACATGTTCAAGAGAAAAAGGGCATGTCACTTGTATTACTCTATACACATTTACATCAACAGAGAATCTTTTAGCAACTGTCATAACTAAAATTATATACCTTTTTTTAGACAGTGAAAGGGGTTTGATGTTGATCGAGATATAACTCTGCAATAGCAGTGTGTAAAGCTGCACCAATGGGAAGAACATCTTCATCAAGAAAGAAATAAGGAGAGTGTGGGGAATGAACTGAACCAACACCCTCATTACGGATTCCAATTCCAAACATGACTCCAGGAATCAGTTCCTGATAGAAAGCAAAATCCTCTCCAGCCATCACCTTCGTAGCCACCTTAACTCCCTGTGAACCAAGCACCATTGATCCCACCATGTCCACATGCTTCTTCAAACTCTCGTCATTAATGGTGGCTGGATATGGAGGGTATTCATCCTCCATCATATCAACTGTACCTTTGCATCTATGAACAGCTGCCTGCCCTTCAATCACCTCCTTCACCCGTTGCTGAAGGTGTTGCAAACCTTTAGTAGTAAGACTCCTGAGTGTTCCCCCTAATTCAACATATGGTGGAATAACATTCGATGCACTTCCACCCCTAACATAAGTAACTGATAGCACCTGCAACCAATTCAAATAAAACACAATTTCAAGATTCCAAATTCATCCACTTTTGTCTATGAACAAAGACACCTACTTGACTTTGGAGGGGATCTAATTCTCTAGAGATTAAATGTTGCAAGGCTAAAACTGTTGATGATGCAGCAAGTATGGGGTCCACACTGTTGTGAGGTTCAGCAGCATGACCACCTTTACCTTCTATCTTAGCTTTAAAGAAGCATACAGCAGCTAACATAGGTCCTGAAAGGGTGGCAATGGTTCCTGTGGGAATTGTAAAATCAACATGCATTCCAAATATGGCCTCTGAATCACCTAAAGCACCTTCTTTTATCATATGGGATGCACCTGCACCTCCCTCTTCAGCGGGTTGGAAAATCAATCGAACAGTTCCCTTAAAACCAAATTAATAAGAAAAAAGAAAAGCATTTAGTTGATGAAGTAAAATGGAATTGTTACATTAAGGCGTACCTTTAGATTGTCTTTTCTCTGATTAAGTAGCTTGGCAGCACCAAGGAGCATGGTTGTGTGAGCATCATGTCCACATCCATGCATTACTCCATCGATTTTACTCTTATGATCCCATTCAACCAGCTCCTATGTTTACATCATACAAATTTGAATACTTTTAGAACTAAATTGAAGAGGAATAGTTTGATTTATAGGTGAAAATTAATACCTGCAAAGGGAGGGCATCCATGTCAGCTCGAAGAGCTACAATAGGAGGAGACCCGGTGCCAATTTGAGCTACAAAACCAGTCTTGGAAATTGGGTATGTGTAAGAAACGCCAAGTTTATCGAGTTCATTGCGAATAAGGGCGCTGGTGTTGTGTTCTTGGAAAAGAAGTTCAGGGTACTCGTGGAGCTTCCTTCTGATTGAAATCAACCAATCTTTGTCTTCTTTTGCTGCGCTTAAAAGCTGGGTAACGTAGTCTTCATCGGCATCTACGATTTGAATTGACGAAGGAAGTAAAACCCAGAGCAGGAGGAGGATTCCAAAGGAACGTGAAATCAAAAATTGAAGCATCTTCTACAATTAGGTTTTCTGATACTGTCTCAATCGGGGCGTGTAACACTCGACCCAAAATGGAAACCAGTACTAACCCCTTCCCTTGCTCGGTACTAACCCCTCATCCATGTTTGACTTGCTGTAGTTCCCTTAAATTAGTCTTTGAGCATTTGTCTTCGGTATCCCTTTTGATCACTTGTGGGCGTAGTTGCTACTTGTTAATGTTTGATTATGCATAGATAATAATTTCGGAAGTATTTTTAATGATAAATATTAAAAACAATTATAAAATATGTAATGCCCTGAAATAAAATGACAATGATAATAAGTAACAGAAATTAACATAATATCAAACCAATTGTTTGAAAAAAAAATTCAATCTTTTTATAGTTTTATTCCGTATAATTTCCTAAAACAATTGACGAGAACATTGTTCCTAGTATTCAGGAGACATGAAAATTGTTTTGGTCCAACACCCCGCTCCCGAGTTCAACTTAAAGAGAGAACAGAAAGGAAACGAGAGGAAAGTAAGAAAGAATGGTGCTCCCGAGTTTCATTAAAGGAAGGAAGTGGAAAGAAATTGAAGGAAAACTTTCCCTCCTATCTTTCCTCCCGATTTGGGAGGATTTGAAAAGAAAGAATAAAATGTTTAACTTTCCTTCCATTTCTCTCCAACTCGGGAGTATAAATGACAATTTCTTTTTCCTTTTTTTTCTCTTCTTTTCTCTCCTTACTTTCTTTTCTCTTCTTTTCTTTTCTTTGCTATAACTCGGGAGCGGGGTGTAAAGGTAATGAGTCACTCTCCTACCAACTTAATAGAAAAATAATATGATATTTCACGTCATCTCCATTATAAGTTAATTACCAGACTATTATATATTGTAAATGATTATCACTTCATATTATTTTTTTTTATGTTAAGTTAAATAAAAAAAACATAATTTAAAACATAAATAAATATTTAACATTAATTAAAAACTCATTACATTACTTATAAAACATAAAAATTTAAAACTAAATTATTAAAAAAAGCATAAAAACATAAAAATTTAAACCTAAATTACTAAAAATACAGAAAAACATAGAAATTTAAACTTAAATTACTAAAAACATAGAAAATAAAACATAAATATTAAATAAGTTTTTTTAAACCTCCACCGATACATTTTCCTTAACTATCAAATATTTGATTTTTTGCAAGTCTGCTTTATTCTAATTGGTTGTCTTTGTGCGTAGATGGGCTCACGTCACCCTACGTTAGGGTGTTCACGTGTGGCTTAGTGTGCCACGTAAGACCTCACACGTAGAGTAAGGTCTCATACCAGATAGTCTAAATAATTTCACAAGCCAACTCAAACTAAGAAATCGTACGTATCTCGTAGAGATAATTGAGTCAATAAATAAATAAATCAATAAATTAAAAAAAACAAAACAAAAAACAAATATTCTTTCTACATTTCATAATTCCCTTAAATGCATCACCAAAACAAAAAAAAAAAACAAATATTTTTTCTACTTGTTTAACCCTGGTATCCTAGGGGTATATTTTGACGGCGGTAAACACAGCCCCTTAGTCCATTTTTTGCTGCCGATAATATGTCGTCGGTAGAATATCACCGCTATCTCTCTTTATTTTTACCGGTGAAACCATCTTGTGTGGACTAGTAAACTGCATCAAATAGTTGTATTTTTATGCATTAGAAAAATACACAAGAGTGGTAGCATATGGTTATGGTTTGGAAATAATTTTATAGGCAAAAGTATCACAATACCCTTATCATGTAAAGATTGGTATGAAAGTCAAATACTTACGTGGTGCCTACGATGACATTCTTTTACCATTGGCAAAAACATCAACACACCCTTTAACCTTATAAGTTTGGTATCGAGAAGTAAAAAATATAATTAAAATATAGAATAGAAATAGATACAAGGGACATAAAAGCCTCCATATATACCTTAAATTTCAATGACATGGTATAGAATTAGTATATGATTTTTTTTTTGGATAATGACTTGAAAAGGTAATGAACTTTCAATCTTGTTCGTATTTAATCGCTAAAAAACTTGTCATTATCTATTTGCCAATGAAGTACCGAAACTGTTCACATTTTACCCTTATGATCGGTTGTTATTGGTTATAAGGGTAAAATGTGAACAGTTCAATAGTTCAGTGACAAATACATAATGAAAAAAAGTTTAGTGACTAAATATGAACAAAATCAAAAATACGTTTCGCTCTCAACAAAATTCAATGACTAAATATGAACAAACTTTCTTCTTGTATTATGGTTTAGCAAATTATGTATTTTTTGTTAAATTTTAACAACATTTGTTGATAAAGAAATCTATAAAATAATAAATAATAAATAAAAACCCGGAAAAAGTATAAAAACGAAAAACGAAACCAATATTATATGTATAAGTTTTATGTTATAAAACTATGCAATATTATATGTTTAAAAATTATCATAATATTATATGTAAGAATTTTGTATTATAAAACTATACAACATATAAATGGACATACATTAAACCATATATGTGATTTATAAAATAATACATACATACGGTGATACATTATATATGATATTATATTCTATTTATTGACATACATTATTTTAGTATATTTACTATTAGAAATGATATGAAAATGGAAAGCCAATTTGTTTAGAATGACATTTTTAATTTATCCGGACAATTGATTTATATTTGAGATTGTATTTTCATAGAAAGTTTGAATAATTGTTGATATTTATGATTATTTAACTAGACATATAGAGTTAAGTAAAAATGTTTAACATGTTTTATGAAGTGTTGCGTCCAAAACACCCCATCTATATTACCTTTATAGAAATATATTTTTTTAGAAAAAAATACATATATATTTAATAATTAAAAAAGACGTTTTTTTTTTTTCTTTCAAAAAAGTCACTCATAATTTTCAAAGGTTTTAGAAAAAACAATTCATATTTAAATAACTATTTTAAAAAAATAAAGTTTTTAATTTTTTTTTTCTTCGGAATACAACGTAATTTCTTACCATGAAACACAATTTCTTAATAACTATGAGTGAGAATGGTTCATTTTTTATAAAAACAAAATCAGATTGGAAATTTTGATTTTTTATTTTGGAAAATAGCAAACCATTAATTTTTTATTTCGGTTTCGGTTTTCCGTTTTCTTTAATGTATTTTTGGGGTTTTGTTGATTTTTTTCAAAGATTTATTTATCAACAAATGTTGCTAGAATTAACAAAAATAAATAATTTGCTAAAACATAATATAAGAGGAAGTTTGTTCACATTTAGTCATTGAACTTTTTTAGAGGTAAACAAACTTTCGATTTTGTTCACATTTACTTACTAAACTTTTTTTTCATTATCTATTTTCCACTGAACATTGAAACTATTCACATTTTACCCTTATGACCGGTAACAATTAGGGATGAGCATAAGCGGATACCAACCTCATTTGACGAGAACCGGAACCGGAGACGACGGTTCCTAGAAAGTTAGAACCGGAATTGGAACCGCTCTAGGCAGTTCTTAAATGTTTGGAACCAGTTCTGGAACCGGGTAACCAGGTTACATTAATTTTGTTATCTTTTGTCGATAAAATCGCAATTTAGTTCGATCCAAATCAAATCAATTCGAACAAAAGACGGACAAAATTGGACCAATATATTCTAAACCGGTCTAAGTAACACACATATTTATATGAATATATATATATATATATATATATATATATATATATATATATATATATATATATATATATATATATAAACCGGATCCGGCAGGTAGCGGTTTCGAAAAAATAAGAAACGGAACCCGAACCAATTAAGACGGTTCCATAACTTTAGGAACCTGAACCGGAACCGCTTAAGGTGGTTCCAGTTCCAAAACCGGCGGTTCCGGTTCTAAAAGCGGGTACCCGGTTCCAATGCTCATCCCTAGTAACAACCGGTCATAAGGGTAAAATGTGAATCATTTCAATAGTTCAGTGGCAAATAGATAACGAAAAAGAATTTAGTTACTAAATTGAACAAAATCGAAAGTTTGTTACCTTTTAAGGCATTATCCTTTTTTTAATCCTTTTGATACTTTGAGATTACAAGCAAATGCAAAGAAGAAAAATCTTGGAGGGAAAGTTAGAGAGGACTAAAGGACGTTTTTGGTTTACAAAATTTGAAGGAACTTAAAGAAATTGGACTGTAAATTTCAATAAAAATTGCATTTTGGTTTAACAACTACGCTTACATCATCAGCAATTGAACATCACTTTCAACAAAATCAATTGTTCTACCTTCTTTACTAGTTTTTTCTTTGTCATTGTTTTATTTAAATTATAACTAAGTCTAAAGAAATGAAATGTTAACTAGAAAACATTTTTTTGGAAGTGAAAAAAATAGTTAGACAACTAGTATTATCTAAAAAATGATTTAAGGATAAATTTAAGAAAAAAAATAGGTACCTTTAATATCTAACGCTTCAAAACGATCATGAGAATATTAATAACGAGACCAGTGGGTTTTGTACCATATTTGACTACATTTTTTGTTACATTTTTGGTATGTCATGCCAGCCACGTCAATTTTCTCCACCCCACGAAACTAATAGGAATGATACTACACATTACTGTACTTTTTTTTTCTAAAATAAAATAAAATGTAACTGCTTAAAATTAATAAAAGGAAACTGTTTCATTAATTAAAAAATACATACAAAAAAATACATAAAAAAACATAATCGAAACATAATAAAATAGTATGTCATGCCTAATCATCGTCGAGCATAACATCATCATAATCTTCTCCCAAATCATCAACAAACATATGCGATTCATCACATGTACCGCCATAAAAATCGTCGACAATGAAAGTAATGTATCGTCGACAACCAAATTTACTTGAGAAATGAAGACATGCTCTACCAAAGTGTGAAGTTTGTTGTAGCATCTGGATTTTTGAGTTTGAAGAGACGAATAAGGTGTTCTAGTTGTGCATCTAACAAGGGAACATCATCATCATCATATCCTTCTCGTTTTGGATCAATGTAAGTGTCAAAGCTTCAACCTTTATTGTTTAAATGTTGCTAGATCTAGGTTTTGTCCCATTTTCTCCATGTTTGAGCAAAAATTGAATGGAAGGAAGCCATAAAGTTGACAACTTTATGGTTTCTAAGGGTCCCTTGAGTGTTATAAAGTTTAGATCTAGTAGTTTGGTTGAGTTTTGAATACTTGCATGAGAACTTTAGTGATACTTTTCTACATTTTGATCCAATATGAGATCTAAACATGTATTGGACATACATGTCAATAAAACATCGATTTTTAAGTTAATTTTGGAGTTATAGGACCTCCTGGAAAGTTGGAATGCGAGAGGGAAATGATTATGATTAAATGCATTAAGATATTCATTGTGCGTAAGTCACAACATGACCATTTGG